AGGAGGCTCCTTCTTGATTAGGTCGACAATTTGTTGACCCGCAGATTAAAAACCTCTGGTGCGGATGTCAGTAAGCTCCTGAGAAGCCTTGAACTCCTCAATAACCTCGGTGCGCCTAGCGTCGAAAGCAAAGGCAGCTTCTGCCTCAGCTTCCCTCTTCCCCTCAGTTTTTCCCTCAGCAAAATGCTTCTCTGCTTCCCCAGCTGCTGCAGACAACTTTTTGTCAGACAGGTCCGCCCGCTCCTTAAGACTCGCGACCTCATCTCTCAACTTTTGTAGTTCATCTTCCAAACTCGCCAGCTTGGCCAAGGCCATGTCCCTCTTATCGACGGCCTCATCTAGCTTCTTTTTGGCATCAGAAACAAGGGACTGAAGCCGGGCCTCCATTTCGTCCATCTCATTTTTACGCTCCTCGACCTTGACGAGGTCAAGGAGGTTGAGAATGGAAAGGACCAGGCTCTGAAAAGTTGAAGGTCAGAAAAACAGAAATGCAAGACGATGATTTAAAAAAAAAAAAAAAAAAAAAAAAAGGGGAAGAGTCTTACATGGATCTGGAAGGAAATATGTTTTTGCTGACGGTCAACCAAAGAAGATTGGGTGGCAGCAACCCAATGTGGCTCGAGAAAAGACTCATAGAGAGCCTGAAAGACAAGGGAAAAGCGAGGAGGAAGTTTCAGCATCGCCCTGATCTTGGCATCAGATATATCCGGGACTTGGAACTTGGGGTCCATAATTTTAGCCCCCGAAATAAGCACGCGCTTTCTCGGCGCCAGCGGAATGTCGACGTCAGGAATAGGGACCGTCGGCGTCCATGTTTCTACAACCGTTGTTTTTTCCTTTCGCCTCTTTTTCCGCACAAGATCCGCCTCTGACCCCAAAGGACCCTTGGTCTTCCTGCTCCTTGGAACGTGGGAAGAAGAGCTAGCTTTCTCTTTTCCCTTCAACGGGGGCGGTTGGCTAGGCGGGGGCTGTTGGTCCAACGGTGGCTGCTGGCTCGGCCCAGATTGCTGGCTGCCAGGAAGTTGGATCCTCAAAGACGCCATTTCTATAGGAAACGACGAGATTAAGATATAGTCAGCAGTGGAAAAGCCTAAGTCACAATAAAGAAAGGCGTCGAAAGCAAAGAATACCTTCATCGTTTAGGTGAAAGTATTGACGGACGGCGTCTGAATTGGCGGGGTCTGGGAGATCAAGGATTAAACCAGCGTCGCGAAGGTTTTTCTTGGTCAGAAGCGTTTCGATATGGCGAACCTTTGACGAGAAAGAAAAAGCCTTCTCGACCCTCGCTAAACTGTTCCCAGAGAACTACGGCCAGTCCTGACTGACTGTAATACGAAAGGAATGTCAGTGGAAGGACGGAAGAAGCAAAGTCAGATAAAAGAAAGCCAAAAGACTTACCCATGTTCCCAAATGCCGCCTGCACCTGCCTTTGACAGGGCAGGCGGTCGTTGGGATGAAAGTTGAAAGGCCCCCGAATCATGAAGAACATGGGTTTCCACCCATGTGACGACGAGGGAATGCCCAGTATAAGCTTTCGAAACCTGGGCTGAGACCTCCTGTGACCACTCAAAAAATACCACCCCTCACACTTGGCGACGTGGCATAACTTATACATAAATCAGAACTCATCTACAGGGAGTTCCATATCGAATCGCTGGTGCCATAAAATCCAGGCACCAGTGAAGCAGTACCAGAAGTTTGGCGCCAGTTGAGAGGGGGAAATGCCGTAAAAGTGGCAGTATTCTTTTACAAAAGGGTGGACTAGGAGGGTCATCCCCGCGGTAACAGCTCTAGTATAGACCGGAAGATATCCGGTCGGCGGCATGCTGGTTCTAAAATGCACGTCCGGAAGAAGGTATTCGAACCACCTCCCGTCAATGCACCCTTCCTTCACAGCCCGGATGATATCCTTGTTCCGGAGCCTTGACGCCACAACGTCGGCTGTGAAGAAAGGCCTATCCGGTTCACCACTCGTGGCAGCCAGAGGGGCATCTACCGTGGAGGCAGCCACCCCGCCTACATTGCCCCCCGTGAAAGGGATCCGTTCTACTGCCTCATCCAAAATCCGCTCGAAGCTATCAAATTCACTACCAAAGTTATTGCCTAGTGCGTATCTGGCTTCATGTCCAGCCCCGATGTCTTCTATGTCTCTCAGCACGGAATTGACGCTGGAAGACGAAGAAGACCAGGAGATTTCCACCACAGAAGGGGGGTCTGGGCGGATGACAGGAGAGTCCTCTCGACTGGGGGAACTTTGGGCCATTGTTCTGGTGATTAAAAAGACAAGAAGCTAAGTTAAAACCCTAACATCGAGAGGAAGAAAGGATGACTATTCTAAAATGATGACAACTCAAACGACTCGACTTGACGTCGACCATTCATATGAGAATGGTAACGGTGAGTGATCATAGGATTCCAGGTTCCCCAGAACCCAGAAACTGGAAGCGCACAGACAGCAAAGAGACGGTATCCAAAGCGGAAGGACAAAACAGAGTAAGTCTCCCTAACTCCTACATTCCGCACATTCTTTAGACATATACACATAGTTCAAACAAAAAGAATAGAAGGAGCCCGTGTATAAGAAAAACAAGCAGAGGATGGAGACGCTTACCGATGAAGAAGGATTCCTGGGAAAGTCTGGAAGAAAGAACGGTTGCGCGATACGCCTCGAAGAGCAGGAAGCACGAACCGGAGGCTAGAGAGGGAGGAGTCCGTCGGAGAAGGCGGCAGTCCAATAGGTGCGAAGAGAGTTTGAAGTCTTGAAAAAATGGCTCTCGAGTTCGTAGAGGGTATTTAAAGGAACGGACGTCCTCGACCCTGACCGTCAGATGAAGATTTTAAAAAAATCCAACGGCAAGGGAATCCAACCCGGATCTAACGGTGATAAAAGAGGGCGGGAAGCGGAAAGGTCGCGATCCAAGGGCCCGTTTTTGTCCTTTCAAAATAAGGTTGTACGTTATCATAAGAGACCAATCGACGCGACGGTTGCGTCCCCCGAAGGAAATCCGAAGTGCCCAGGCCATCATTGCAAACGGAGGCTCGGGACCAATTTTCCACACCCAAAGCACGGAAGGACAACCAAACCTAAGTCCGAGGCCACCCAAAAGGAGCCCTCAATCTGGGGGTAGCTGTTGTGTGGGAAAATATGACGGACGCGTGGACGGATGATAATGCGACACGTGGCCCTGACCACTCCCCACCAATCAGAAAACCATCGACGTCTACGAACCCTTCCTATTCCGCTGGACAGCGCGAAGCCCAAATTAGGACGACGATCCCTTATGGCGTCGACAGATCACGCTGTAGGCATGAAGATCCCTCGGCCGCAGGAAGGATCCAAAGTGGACGATTGGGCCAAGCCACGCTGACGACGAGGGGAACGTTCTTTAGAAGACATGACGGGTTACGTGCTTAAGTGGAAGACGTCTGCAGGCATTAATTGTAAGCTCTCAAACCGCCCTACATAGGGGACAGAAAAGTATTACGGAGAAGCACAGAGCCGTAATAGGAGACTAATTGGTTGAGTGAACAGTGCTGATTAGTGGGCTACGTCTGGGCCTACCAAAGGAGAGCACTTGAGTGCTTCTACCTATGAAGAAAACCCCCAAGCGAAGAAAGCCCGGTATAAAAAGAGAAAGACCCCAGTAAGGAAGGGGTTCGAAAAATAACCAGAAAAGAAGAGCAATGGTTGTAAACTATTACCTTCTAAACATAAATACAAAGTCACAGTGGATGTAGCTCTCATTTTATAGAGTTAACCACTATAAAAATTCCTTGTGTCATTTGTCCATGTATGATTTAGTTAACACACATGTTCAACAAATCCACACACGTTTAATACACCCACGGCCGGTAATCCAAAGGAAAACTAAGAGGTAACCCGGCCAGTTTTTTGTTGGCAAAAATTGACCGTCAACACGGCCTGTAGCAAGAAACGGCCTTCCCAAAATGATTGGCACTTCTCTATCCGCTTCATAGTCAAGAATGATGACCTCCACCTCAGTTGGAAACTCTATTGCCTTAAATACATTAAATGTCACATGCTCATCCTGCACTCGCATGGTTAGCTCACCTTTTTGCACATCAATTAGGGTGCGGCCTGTAGCAAGAAATGGCCTTCCCAAAATTATGGGCACTTCTCTGTCTACTTCATAATCAAGAATAATAAAGTCGGCAGGAAAAATGAACTTGTCCACCTTTACTAGTACATCCTCAATTCTTCCTTCAGAAAGTGCAATAGATCTGTCTGCGAGCTGCAAAGACACTGTGGTAGGCCATGCTTCCCCAATTCCCAACATCTTGAAAATGGACATCAGCATCAAATTTATACTAGCTCCCAAATCACATAAAGCCTTACCAAAATATTAGTTTCCAATTGAACACGGGATAGTGAAACTTCCCGGATCCTTCAGCTTGGGAGGGAGCTTATTTTGTAATATGGCGCTGCATTCCTCTGTGAAAGCCACTGTTTCGAATTCTCCAAACTGACATTTTTTAGTGACCAAGTCTTTCATAAACTTGGCGTACTTTGGCATCTTTTCTAAGGCCTCAACTAATGGTATGTTGATGTGTAGCTGCTTCAAAACATCCAAAAACTTACGAAACTGCCCATCTTGTTGTTGTCTCTGAAAATGCTGTGGGAATGGTAGAGGTGGTCGGCTGCTACTGCTGTTATTGGCTTCTACTGCTCCAGAATGCTATGGAAATGCTGCATCATTCTGGACGTCAGAATTTGGTTGTTGCTTCCTTCGTTGTTCTTCTTGTGGCTGAGTTTGCTGCACTTCCTCTTGGATTGAAGTGGGCTCTGTTTGTACAGCCTAAGGTCTTGTCCTTGGCTCTAACTCCTTTCCACTCCTTAGTGAAATAGCCTTGCGGTGTTCTTTCCCTTATCTACGTGGATCTTCGGTGTTGCTTGGGAGAGAACCTTGAGGTCAGTTGTTCAAAGAGTTAGCAAGTTGCCCCATTTGATTTTCTAAATTCCTCAGTGCTGCATCATGACATTAGATTTTGGCTTCACTCCTTGCTATAAATTCCTTTAGCAAACTCTCCAAAGAGCTAGATTGATCCGCTTGTGTTCTTTGTTGTTGATGTGAATAACCGGGTGGATATGTGGGTCTATAATACGCGTTAGCTCCACTAGAATCCGCTCCTTGGTTACTCCAAGCCATATTTGGATGTTGGCTCAACCCTTGGTTGTGAGGATTCAAATAAGGATTGCTGCTCCTGTTGAAATTAGCAACATAGCAAGCGGAGGCTGGGTTGGATGGGCAATCTTCATACAAGTGGCCCTCTCCATAGTAAACACAAGAGAATCCAGCAGTTTGCACAACATTTACCGCTACCGGCATGTGCAATTCTTTTACCATATTCGTCAAGGATGACATTTGAGCTGAGAGTGCAGTGATGGCATCAACTTCATAAATACCAGTAGCCTTCCTCACATTAAGTCTCTCGGTTGGCCATTGATAATTGTTGTTGGCCATCCTCTCCAAAATTTCATATGCTTCATTGTAAGATTTGGCCAAAATGGCTCCACCAGCTGCGGCATCAACTATAGTCCTTGTTTGCCCATTGAGACCATGATAAAATGTCTCCATTTGAATCCAATGGGGGATGCCATGATGAGGGCACTTCCGTAATAGCTCCTTGAATCTTTTCCATGCTTCATACAATGACTCCCTATCTGCTTGTTGGAAGGAGGTAATGTCGTTCCAAAGCTTGGCATTCTTTGTTGGAGGGAAGTATTTCATGAGAAACTTCTCTGCCAAATCATCCCATGTTGCCACCGAATCTGGAGGCAAAGAATTCAGCCATACCCGAGCTCTATCCCTTAAAGAATAAGGGAATAACTTTAACCTCAATGCATCTTCAGTCACCCCTGCTAGCTTGAAAGTATCACACACCTTCATAAATTGTCCAAGATGGAGGTGAGCATCTTCAGTTGCTATGCCACTGAATTGGCCCACGGTTTGGAGCATTTGGAACATCACTGGCTTAAGCTCAAAATGAGGCGCTTGAATCACTGGCCTCACTATTCCGGGGTTAAGTCCATGTAAAATGGGCACAGCGTAATCTTGAATGGCCCTGTTTCTATCATATATTAGTATCGGTTAGGGGACAGGGATGTTGGCATTTGCTTGCTGCCCATTGTTTCCTTCTGCCATTTCTCCCACTCTTGATAAGCCTTGTTGCTCCCTTCTCCCGGCTCGAAATGTTCTTCCAATTTCAGGATCTAAAGGCAGCAACTCGAAGTCTTACAGTGGATTCATGCAAATGGTATAATAACCTGAGAAATTAAGAACCAAACGAACGAGATTAAAATAAACAAACGAAAAACAAATTGACTCCAACAAATTTTTTAATGATTTCAATCCCCGGCAACGGCGCCAAAAACTTGTTGCGTGGTATTTATGCTTGCAAGTGCACGTGTCACAGACAAGTAATAAAGAATGAATAAGAGTGTCAATCCCACAAGGAATGAATCACCGAAAGTACGTGTTGGAAGTTATATAATCAACAAAACAAGTAATGAATGAATGTGGCAAAAATTCACTGAAATGATGTAAATAAAATGAATGCAAACTAAATGCGGTCTAAAGTGACTAACAGTAACAAGAATGTAATTATGGGCTGTAATTCAGTAGTAAAAATGAGCTTGGTCTACTAACTTCCCCTCAATTGCAAGTCTGACTAAAATGTTACCTAGAATGCTGCAGCATTTTACTATCCCTATCAGCAAAAACTCTTTGATGCATAAAGTTCTTCCGAATTAATTATGACTAAGGTTCCTTAAGCCATTTCTGACATATTCCTTTGCGAATCCAGCTCTAGGAAGGCAGATTTAAGCTCCGGTTTCATTAAGTCATGCAAGGTGAATCATATATTCCTATACCATCCACTAATCAACAACTCAGCAAGTTTATTGAACAAGCATTATTCAAGCTAAATCTGATTAAAACTAACCCTTCCAGTATTAATCTTAATCTTGTATCCTAAAATTGATGGCTAGTCAAGAATAGAAATAGGCATTAGCTCACATGAATGAACAGGAATAGTAAATGAATAGCATCTCAAAAACAACTTGTCATTCTTACAATCTTAGTTCCATTAGCAAACCTAGCTAAAGCAAATTAGTTCATAATAAGATTTACAAGATTCAAAGCTCCAGAATAATCCATAGCTAAATTAGTAGCTAAATAACAAAAGAAGGTTAAGCTAACAGAAGAAGAATGAATTTCAGCTGGAACTTAGATTCCTCTCTGGCCGGCCAAAATGTCCTTCAACTTCTAGCCCTCTTCTCATGTTTCTGATTCTTTTTCTGGAGTGAGTATTCTTTGTATTTCCTTCCTTCTTCAGCTCTCGTAATAAGCTTTTTCCTCTCTGGGTAGTGCTTTGTGTGTTTTTCTGGAGAGGGATCCTCTGTGTATTCTCTCTATGGAAAAATAGTCTCTGTCCTCTCTTTTCTATTTCAGCCCCGTTTCTCTCCTCTCTTTTTTTTGGCGGCTGCCCCTTTGTCTTAAGAAAACATTCCCTTCTAGGGCAACACAAGGGCTGAGCTGTCACTTGATGATGTGCACAGTGGACCACAATGACACCTGCTCAGCCAGCTCACACGGATTCCTTTTTGTCTGTTTTCTCCAGCTAGTGCGCTGACGTCAGTCATAGGCCAGCTGTTCCCAGAATGTTGCCAGAATGTCGCAACATTTAGCCCAGAAATTTCCTGCAAAGTGCGCACACAGCCTTAGTCAATTTTTCACCTCATTTTACTTCAAAACCATCAACTTTCACTTCACGAGGAGCACCAGTACGGAATTAAGCCAAAGTAAGTGTAAACTATACAAATCTAAATTAAAACACACAATAAACTAGAAAAATCACTCTTGGTCACACAATTTTGAGCTATAAAACCATTGGATAACTCTAATTTCTTAGAGTTATCACTCGTACCAACATGCGCGACCATGAGCATTGGGGGAGCGACCCAAACATTTAGTCCAACTACATACAAGGTCATTAATAAATGTTTATCAGTTATGATCTCCCATTAGAAGTCTGAGGATAATTACCCTCCCACTAGACTCTCGAGATCGAGTACGACACCTAGTCTCATTACCATAGCCTGTTACTTAGGTGGTGTCACGCCCCCCCAAACGGGGTGGGTGATGTGGAGCTCGATTTGGAATTGATAAAGCAGATTCCCAATCGGGCCCCACACTTAACTACATTAAAATATAAATAAATTATAGAATCCCGGAGCCTCTGACACACAGGGCTCCACCCCACAGGACATACAGTATCGTACATACATGCTCATGTAAATAATCATTCCAACAGACATCAACCACAGTCTAGTTAATCCAAATATTACATAAGTTTATAGAATTCTCAAATTCCTTACATTTGTATCAGAAGATGACCACAATCCTCACTTGATTCCAACAGCAGCACAACTCAGCTGCTCCGTAGCAATTATCCAGCTACTGTGCACCGCTCCTAGAGTCCCCTGGGAGGGGTTGAATATATTTAAAACATAACACGTGAGCGAAAGGCCCAGTAGGATATAATTTGAAATAAACGTTATAAATAAATGAATAATAAGTGTGCGAGGAAATACATGAATGAATAAGTAAATAAAAGAAGACATTCAGTCCCGACAGAACAGTCGAAACCTCACATCCTTTTTCTTAAAGGAAATATGACTGTAAATAACCGTTTTACAGGCTTCAGCAAGTAATTGGTATAAATTACTTACCTAACCAAGTGCCTCACCTACCCGGATTGAGTTTCGGGTTCTGTCCCTGAGGATGCACTCTCCGCATCCTATCTAGGCTTACAGCAATAGACTCTATTACCAGTTCACAAGATCTCTTTGCTTAAGAAATCATTCAAAAACATTTTGAAATCATTAATACGACCCCACGAACTACTCAAGCCGCGGGCCCCATGACTGGACAAGTCATGAGGTTCCATGACTAAACAAGTCATGGTTTTCAAAGCGTTTTCTTTCACAAATCAATCCATTTCTTTTAAAAAAATATTTTCAAGGCCAAAATCCTTTTTGAAAAAAGGCTCACAAGGAAAAGGGATAGAAATCCTACCTCGCACTATCAAACCTGGGACTAGCGTTGCCTTTTCCGGCTTCTGCTTGCTCAAGCCCCTTCAATTTGAATCCTCAGCGATCACTGAGGCAAGACAACACGTTAGGGTTAATTCTCATTCCTAAAGCGATCCAGATATCAATTTCCAACCATGATTTCCTATTAGTGTGCCCTAATCCATTTTCATGTTTTAAATTATCATTTCAAGGGTTTTCAATCTCAAATCAAGGATTAACAATGCTAATCCATTTATCCCAAGTCTCCAAATGAAGCTAATTTGGGTTCTCCCCGAAAACAGGGGTCAAAACAGCAATTTCAGGCCAAACAGGGTCAAACTCCGTGTCAACCGGTCGACCGGTGACAGAGCAGTGCAACACTACCGGTCGACCGGTAGTGTGCACACCGGTCGACCGGACAGGTCGACCGGTCAGCCTGCAATCCGGTCGACCGCATAGGTCGACCGGTTTCCATGTGATCCGGTCGACCGCACAGGTCGACCGGTGGAATCAGCTGCGCGAGAGAAGCTCGCAGAAATCAGTTCAAAACCTGCAAATCCAGTCCCAAATCGAGATATTTCAAAGGGAAACCACTAGATCTGGGTTCTAGGTCCTAAAACAAGTCCAAAGAACC